AGTCAAAGAAAGAGAAAAAGTTAAAAAGTTAAGATAGAATGTTGCATAGCCACGTATTCAGAAAGCGAACGTATGGCTACATTAATATTCCAACAATGATGACAACGACGAAAGAGAAAATGATGTGGATAAAAATATCACAAAAAAAAGAAGAAACTTTCAGCATTAAGACATGAGATTAAGCATCATAGTTAATGAAACAGTAATATTAAAAAGTATTGCATAAAGACACCGATTGATGTAGCATCATTAATATATAATACCAACTGTTTGTGGATCATCAAACGACCAGTTAAAAAGAAATATAATACCTAAAAATGGCCGAGTGAGTTTCGTCTGCGCGTGAATATTTTAACGTTGGTAGAAGGGAAGTTCGGATTTTCTACGGAAAATATTTGCGAAGCTCGTTGCAAAATGAAGCAGTTATACGGCACGACAGACCAATCTCCTGTAACGTCGTTACCTTTTTGAGCTTGTCAGATTAGATGAGATTCTGTAATGCACGGTGCACCGGTGACGTAGTTTTCACAGCGAATGGACCGTTCCTCTATCCATCGCGTCGGTTACCAACTTCCCCCACGTGGTACTGACGATTTTGTGCGACGTGTCGTTTGTGCGATTAAGTGTGAAGTGAAAGAGCCGCCCGGCTCGACCACGGTATCTGGATTTAATTAAGTGTGACGGTAAAGTGATCGGATCCACGGTATCACACAGAATCGCGCAGATTCTTTCCACTTCACGTGTGAAGCCTTTAGAGCACATCCTGGTCGCTAAGTAATATTGGATATCTCGTCCCAGCAAGTATCTTTAACAACAGTAGAATCACGACCATGCGAATTGGACCGATGACACCATAATATTTCGCCATTTAGAATGAAGGCAGTTAATATTTAAAATACAATTACGACAAGTAAAGCCACTACGTAACGTCACGACATTTTTAAATTAGTGAAACGAACACTAGAGAAAATTTTGATATTACTCCAAACTTATAGAAATTCGTTTTTCTTCTATATTGAAGGCATCCATACGATTTTAAAATGGTTTTGTTGAGAACAATATCTAAAGTTTCTTTTAAGTAATACAGTTCAGTACGACTGTCTTCAAACAGTAATTAAAAGTTCACGGGAGACTAGAACATATTTTTTTCGTAGCAATAATCTACTTCATTCTAAAAACGCTTTATTTAAACGGTAAACAATTATATTCCGTCAATGCCTCTTTTTCAAGCCTTCTAACCACCTACATAAATAGACTCCATAGTCTTACACAGGGATCTTATCTGCATCTTACAATTAGAGGTCTAAAGAAATAAAGCCAGATTCACACTAGCAAACACGGTACGGTTAGATCACAGTTTCATTGGTTTCGGAAAGGGAGTATCGTGCATACAACATTTTATTGATTATCTTTTTTTTTTAATTCCTTTAGGTCACTGGTATTTTTTGCTAGACAGCATGTACTTAATCCATTATGGGCCTCCATGGAACTCCCAAAACTTCGAGGGTTCAAACAAAAATACCCTACACAGGAACATATAAATCTTAATCCCTTCTTGATCTCCTCCGAATTGTTCCGCGCCATGTTTTCCTGTGTGCGTCCATCGCAAACTTTTCAATGTAATGTCAAAGTAGTTCGACATGTTTCCTTCCGAAACGAGAATTCCACGGCATAAAAGAGACTTCTCGAATTTTTCCGCATATTTCACGAAGAACGTCGGTGTTAGCCGTGTCACGGGGGAATTTTGACACGCTTCTCGATTCTGTCAAAGCACGTCATCGTTCAGTATAACGTTGGTTGACGTGAATTGCAATCCCAGTTATCGGGCGTAACTGCTGTGGCTGTTCTCGTGACATGTTATGCAAACGTCTTGCGTTGTTCTTAGCAGCCAAGATGCCGCCGGTTATACGCGTGCCTAGGAACTTCGACCCCCTGAGTTACGATTGCTTAGGCGGCAGGAAGTTGCCACGTAACCGTCGAATTAGCACGTCGATGAAAGACCGTTCTCCCGCTGATCGAAGCACGAGCAATTTCCCCCTCGAATAGACTTCCTATCGCTTCGCCCATTCGCTCGCGGAGATATTCCCGCTGAACAGTTAACAGGTCCTCTGTAGTATTTTTCCTCGAGTGCCATCCACTGCTGTTGACGCTACGTAAATATTGTTTTCATACGTTCTCGGGGTGTAATGCTGCGAAATAGATACGAAGCTTCTGTTTAGCTTCTGCTGCAGGGATAACTGATCGTATGGCGATTAAGTGGTATTGACTTTCCGAAAGTGTTCGCTTCGAATTGTTGATACAACTGTTCCGTTGCAAACGTCGACATTTCATTACTCGATAAATGAGCCGTTTATTTTGAAAATGGTTTGAGTCCATTTTTTTTTTTGCCATGCGAGGTATTTAACGCTGGAACAACCAAACCCGTTAAAATGAGGGATTTCGAATGACTTGTTGCACAATTACTGAAATCATAAAGGTGTTATTGTTGGAATTTATGTGGTTTTCCAGGCTATTCTACATTTTCACATTTACATGTAACCATTCTTTTATGATATTATCACTAGAACTACCGACGATAAACGCATATTCATTTCGATCGGTCGATAAACATGAGAAAGTTTAATTTCTTCACTTTCATATCGGAATAAAAGTTGCAAAAGATCTGGAAAAATGTATTGTTACAACATTCTAATCATCGTTATAAGAATGTACTGACAAGTCATTTTGACTTTTTTGGTAGTTATGGTGTTATATAAATTTTGATTCAAGTTATAGAGCGGTTACTTAACTTCCTACGGGTTCCGTGATTTAGCACGGCCGAACCCGTGGAAAGGTCGGATTCGTGCCTCCAGGCACTGGAGGATGGAGAGTGGTGATACGGATGTCTTAAAGAATCATAGATATGTTCTGGTAAAATCGATCATATATCCTTTACAGAATAGGATACTTTTCAAAGGTGCCCATCACTGTGATCACTGTGATACTAACACGTAACGTAATCCAAGATCCCCGCGAAAATGCTGTCCTCGGTTCTTAAACGTTCCAGCGTTTACAGAATGAACCAGCAGGATTGCAATTTCTTCTCTCCGTTGAACTTCGTCGGGACCAGTTGTCTAAATCCCACTCATATCCATCCCCAAGGACAAGCAGTAATCGCTTCTTAGGTCAATCTTAAACCAGAGAGTTATACCTGTGACTCCCCCGGCCAATCCCTTCCGTAGATCTTCCTGGTGTACCTGTCTGACGACGGCACTGCATCTCCGGAACTTCGAACTCGGTATCGCCTGGCCAACAGGGATAGAAAGATCTAATTACACCTCGTTTCTGTGAGATTGAGGAATACGTACTACCGGCTTAAGACGCTTTAACTACCACAGAATCTGCACCGCCCTGTCCTCCAACTGCCGAGATTCGTTGAACTACTCTGTCCGGTCTGTCACAATCGCCGATATCCCACATTATACATTCCGTCACTACAATTTCGTTCTATAGTTAGAAATTGTTAGTATCGAAACACGTCTGATTCCATTATTCTCCAAATTTTAAATTAGTTTTGAAAAAGTAATGATTGTCAGCAGTGGCGTAGCCAGGTTATCAGTCAGAGGAGATGGTAGTAATTAACCAGAATATTGTACATTAATAATAGTAAAATATCAACTTATGTCCTATTGAATAAGAATTCGTCGTTACTCAAACATATCACGATCTAATACGCAAAAAAAAATTGTCTAAAGCGGCATGCACTTTTTGTTTCAGATCCCAAAAGTACCACGGCAACGTAAGGACCGCCAGTCAGCTACCAATATTACAGAAGCTGCATAAACTAATGGAACACGAAGACTGAACAAGCGAATTAACGATCGATTAATGTGTTTTATGACACCTGCTTAATAGCCCGTGATCGAACTCTGTGATGCATGCGAGCAACTGCGCGATTTCCCGCAGAGCTTGATTTAAATGGACAACCAGGAACAGCCCATTTGTTCGTTTTCATTCGTGCCAGTGTGTAAGCAACTGGACGGGCGAATCTGTGAGTGAAAACATGAGATACCCGTACAATGACGCGTTTTATCCCTGTGTCGTGAACTATCTGCGGTGTCCAGCTTCGTTCGAGCGTCATCATTAAGAACCGTTCGTCTGTTTCATCGCAACTGACGACGTGAGACCGATTAATGAAAAAGTGATCGGTCAAATTTTCACGAACCAAGACGAAGCCCGTGACTCCGTACGAATTATAATCGGAGTGAATCTCGACCAGTGGACATAAGTGAAAGCACGTGACTGTGGCGTGCGCGGAAGGCTTGATCCCCGGCAGGCCGATCCTCCGCGATATTAAAACTCCAGGGGATCGAAATTACGGGTGCTACCGGTAAAACCGTACAAATGGTTTCGACGAATCGATAATGCACGATTGTAAATCCTGGCCCGAAGCGAGCCGCGTGTCTGATGAATAATACAATTCCTCCCAGTCGCGTTGGATCCTCGCCTCTTCGGCCACACAGGGAAAAGCTCCGGATAGAATCGTAGAATCCTTATCGACTGACACTCTGTGACGCTGTCCCCGAAACCCCTCTCGTAGACTTTGTTAGGACGTCCTGGCATACACGTCGATCACATTTGACGTTGGTCCCTAGTCCTATAACAACATCTGGACAAGCTAACAGTGATTACAACGTGTCGTGTCTGCCACGCGAGTGAAAAACCAAGTGCACGGGGATTAAGTGAACGGATAGATAGGACGGGATCTCACACGGTGGGTCTTTTTGACTACCAGTCTTTCGATCAGTTATGGTTTTGAACTGAGGTTTGTGAGGACGTGGGGATAAACTGAAGGACACAGCATGACAGTGATACGGGTGTGTCTGGATCCTGGTTTCACTGTTTCCAGCGATCTTCGCGAGTAACTGATAGATAGATCGAGGCGCGCAACGCTCGTTGACGCTCTTGTGAAAACAAGGGTACAGGACAGAGTATATAAGGAGGACGAAGAAAGTGGCAGTATGAGGGAGCATCCGGGAAGATGGCTGTACGTTGTGCTGCCGTTGATCACGTTCCATTCGCATCAGACCGGTGAGTTTCCATTCACTTTCACGGTGGTATTGATGTTCGTGACTGTAAAGGAAGGTCGAAAGTCGACTACTTTGTCCTTGTAATTTCTATATTGAAGTTTCACATTCCGATCCTTCGTAGTGCAAGACGGAATCGATTGTATAAAACTATTAGAATGTAATTGCATTAGCATTGGAAACACATTTTTAGGTAATGGTATGGTGTATTCATTACCGTGTAATAGTCTTGTGTGATTATATCGAAACTGAATTTTTTTGCTCGTTGCAATGGTTCCCCATTATCGAATTGGTCAGGGTAGAATGCAATTAACGTGACGCGCTTACTTTCCCTCATAATACGTAAACAGATAATCATAACCACTTCGCGTATGCCCCAGCGAATTGAAGTAAACCGAGATTTTCTTTTTACTTTAACCATAATAGCAATTATCGCAATGCAGTAAATTAAGAAACAGTGTATTCGGTGTTAACCATGTTCTATAAGCGACAAATGATGTGGATAATTTGAGTTTACTAGATTTAATAGGTGCAGTATTCAAAATAGTGTTATGTATCAAGTTTTAAGGTTAAACATCGTACAAATTCGAAATTTTAAATATGTAAGTTTTATGAGATAATGCACACTAATACCACAAAAGTACGTAGCACAGTTGTGTTCGTGAAATTTAGTTTACCTCGGAATTGTGTCATATAAATTATTGTAGTTAAATACATATACAACTGTTTCCAATTTAATAACTAGTAAATGCGATGTAAGGGTTTGGCACAGGTAACTGTAGACGAATATCTAATCACCATTGATTTTGCTTTATTTCTTGCTGAATTACTAAGGAGAGGTAAATACTTAGTTACTATATTGGGAGAGTTTGTGCAAATTCAAAATCAATATAGTCATCCTTTCAGTATACAGTGAGCCCTCGGCGGTGGATGCCTATAGTCGTGACCTCGGTAGCAAAAAGATTAAGCAAAGCTCGCCCCGAAATAAGGTTCAGATAACCAAAATCTCGAGAGTCCTGATGTTCCTGTGCCACGGAACACTATCGGGATCCAGTTCGGATCCTGAGAAAAATTCCCAATCCCAGCCGACATTCTCGGCTTCCCGTGCACCACTAGTATACTAACATTTAGTTCCAAAGTACACCCAAATGTCTCATCCGCGAAGCTTATCCCGGAGAACCCGTCGGCATCGTAGAATGCTGTCAGATAAGAAACTCCATGTGGTTTTGCAATTATTGAAAAGACAGAGCTATTTCAGCTAAGCGTTCTCGGAAGTGTTTAATCGCTATCGCGTTCTAGTTGATTTCCATACGACCAATGGATTCATGAATAAAGGAGATCGGTGGAGGTCTCCATTGAAGGCAAGCTGCCAACAATTCCAACGAAACGAAACCGCTATCGACGTATGGAAAAATTTATATTCCATACGATTGGGTTGAATTACATGAAATGGTTGTAGCAATAAATGGTAGTTATTTACTTTAGCTATTTATCACAGATTTTGATAACCTTCGAATATATTGTCAAGGTCATTATTATGAACAACTTTTTCCTATACTATGTTACCGCCAGCTACCATCTTTCCGTCGAATGTTATCATCGCTAATACTGTTTCTTAGCAGAAAATGACATGCATCTTTATAAAGTTTATTTATGAAGTAGGCGTAAATCTCGACTTTCCAATACACGCGGAGAAAAATGTCCGAATTTAACTGATTGTGAGATTGATTAACTTAATTAATTTAGTTAGAGTTTAAAGTAATTGTATATTGTTGCTACAATTAGATAATGCCTTAAAATGAATAGAGTGTAATGTGTAATTTTGCAATAACGACAGGAGTTATGTTTATAATTTTCATTCATAGAAGTAATGTCTACTACACCTATTATTAAATCGCACATTTCATGTGCAATGACCTAATATTTTAGAGATATGTCCAACTCATATCACTGAAGACCCATTTGAACAAATGCCAATATTGTTCAGAAATGATCATTTCTCTTGAATGATGCAGGGATCTAACGCATAATGTGTGTATACGACAGTTCATTTAGGTACCGAAGTTCTTAAATAAAAATTAATCGAACTTATATCTTAGCCATAAAGAAAAGGGTTGGAATACGATCCCTTTTAGGATATCAAGGAGTGGCAAACTGCCAATAATTCCGACATATCGGAAGACCGTTATCGACATTCGTAAGAATTTATAATTCCGATAAAGGTGTTCTCACGGGCGTTCCAGAACATCAAGCGTCAAGGGCATTTTAAACATTGATCTAGAGGAGATGATTCGTTCGAATGCGTGAATAACTCAGAGACAGGAAACGCTTGCCAGTGTTGAGAAATTGCAACGCGAGAAATAATGAGAAAAAGCTTTGCGTGACAACAAACAGAACCACCTCAAAACGTTGGTGGAATTGTATTCCACCTATCGATCGTGTCAGAGTAGCTCTCTCCTCTAAATATTACGACATATACATAGAAAGAAAATGTTACCTTACAATGTGATTTGAATTCTGAACAGTGATTCAGAAACTGAGAAAAGTTGGCAAAATTTTAAAAAACCCTTTTTTTTATTAGAAAGTGATAGATAAGAATGTATTTTTATATTTCTAGTATTTTGGCGTATAATTTAATAAAAAAAAAAAGAAAAAATACGTAAAAGTACAACAGAACTTAGACAAAGGCAGCTAAAACTTGTTCACTTTTTATACCGGGTGTTAATAAAAAGATAGGACATTTTCATAGGAAAATCACGAATGACGAAATTGCGTTCGAAGCTTTGTTCCTGAGTTATTAATTGTTGAAAACACGAGTAAAATATACGCAGAATACGTCTGACACGACGGGTTACCTTACATGAGAGGTACGCTTTTTAATTGTTTCTGGTGTTGGTGTCATTCATTTGATTGTCTGTATTTCAGTCTAAATTTAACTAGGCCATCGATCGATCCCGTATATCAGCTGGGACTCGACTGCTGTGAGTAGTATAATCCCTCGCGCCACAGACGTATTTCATGCATATTTTGCCTGTATTTTCAACAATAACTTGGAAACAAAGCTTCGAACATAATTTCATTATTGTTAATTTTTGCCTTACAAATAGTTTCGCTTGTGGTAACCACCCTTTGGAAGTGTTCCATATAGGTCATTCCATGCCAAATCGATCACTTTTTGCATTCGATAAAATTCATAATTATTCTGGTTTACATTCTTTGATAACACTTTAGTTGAAATGTAGTCTATATACATGCATTGACAACAAACTCAATTTAACCTGTAATTTCACGTGGATTAGAACATATTTCATTATGAACAAAATTCCTGATACTGAGTGCGAAAACTGATCAATTTGTTGTAGAATGACCCATATGTTTATTAACACCTTGGATATTCTACGGATACCTTTTTATTCAACTTTGGTCGTAGTACTTCTATCGAGATTATTTGTTCATAAATATCAGTTATGTTCATCTACTACAATTTAATATATTCACTTTTGACAGAATGAAATTATACAAATCAATAAAGACGTTTCGTGTGAAAAAAATTTGTAAATATTCGTAAATTATTTCACGGATGTTCATTATCATTGTAAGTTTCCGGATACTTCTGGACGGTAGCGTAATAGTGTATCGGGAATATCGCGATAACGGAAAACAATGCGGCGTTGAAAAACTCCAAACTCAATTATCCAGGTTCCCTAATTAACACGTTATTCTGCCTCCCGCGGAGCTGTTAGCTTAGGGAGAATAAACGTCGCCAGAATTAGCAGAACAAATTTTTCTCATCCCCTGACAACCATGACTCTCCGAGCAGCAGTTTCCTTACAAGCATCCGTGGCCTGGATCGGAGGTCGAGATGTCTAGAAATTCCATCGAGGAGAACTTTCCTCGAAGCGTCACGGAAAATTGCATTTTTAAGCTGAAGCTCATTTACTAGTAATTAACTTGGTGGGAACCGGTCTTTGAAACGGGAAATCAATTTTTTCGTTTCCTGTTGACCGCGCGTTTGCCTCCGCTGGTCAAATTTACACAGCAAAACTAATATTTTAGATTCCATACAATGAATTCCTTAATGAATATGGATAATAAAAGGAGAATTTTAATGTAAAGAATGGTGTCAGAAGGGTTACACGAAAGTATTATGACTGATAAAAGTACGGTGAGACAGTAAAAGCATTAATTGCTGCTTTCAGGGTTGAACGTATACCGGTGGGTTTATGAAGAATTGTTTTTCAAGACGAGTTCAATTCACCTTCACCCAATGAATCACTCACATTATTTGTACAATTGTCATCGCCGTACCATCTAAAAAAAACCCAATGTTTATTTATATAAACACTTTTCTTTATGTTTTACTCATTTTATTTGCTTCCATACGTTTTCGTTTGATTTTCTATTTCTTCATTCCATTATAAATCTGATCCTTGTCATTCAAGCCATTCTAAAGAGGAGAACGAAGATTAGGAACAACGATATTTCATTATTCCAGATCTACTATCCGTATACGATACCTTCGATCTGGGTACTTTGAAGGAAGTTGTCCCAGAATTGTGTATAGAGGCGGACGTGTTACACGTTTGCGGAATGTGGTTGATTGTTAGACGAGAACCCAATTTACCAAACTCAAGTTTGTCGTTAGGAGTGGGGAGCGTACCGCAAGGACGTTGCGGCGTTCTATTGAAGTTGTAGCAGCTGATGTTATTATGCCGTGTTCGGGTACCTACGGGGACGGATATTGTGGATTTAGAGCATACCTCGTTTCAACTCCATCGGAGAATGTCAAAATTAAACCCGGAACAATTGGTACGTTATTAAATCCCGTGTACCGCTGGAACTCCCACAGCTTTATTTCAATTCGATTATTGCAACAAGTGGCTTATTAAGCAATTCCGTCGCGGATTGTGTATACCATTTGTGTCGTCACGAACTGCCAATGCTATTTCTAGATACAAAATGCACCGTATTGTTCGGTTCAGATGCGTCTTCGCATGTGAAATC